CGAAGTGGTACTCCCTGGGCACCCAGGTAAGTCCCCACACGACGATCGCCGGTGACCGGGTAAGTAAATAGGACGGCGGGTACGTGCTATGCCACCCCCCGGCATTTAGAGACCAGTCCCTAAGGACGGCATAGCACGCTCGCCGTCCTTAAGGGGTTAAAGAGCTGTAATTTATAAATCCTTCCTCCAACTTGGATGTGAATACCCTCAAATTAAAGCTGAGAGGCTTTGTCAGTGTCCAAATATTTCCAGACTTAACTGTGTGTGTGTGTGTGTGTGTGTATGTATATGTGTGTGTATATATGTGTATATATATATATATATGTGTGTGTGTGTGTATATATATATATATATATATATATATATATATATATATATATTTATATGTATGTATATATATATATGGAATGAGGCAAAAATGTGATTTTTTGCTAAACTAATTTGCATATGACCACCCAGAATCCTTTGCGGTTGTAACATCACTGCAGATTTGGGATTTCTGAGGGAAAAGCAAGTCTTATGGCTTGACTGGTGTCCAGATTTTTGTTTAACATTGTATTAACTATATATATATATATATATATATATATATATATATATATATATATATATTGAGGGAATATAAGAGCTATAGTGTGTGTGACTGTGTGTTTATGTGGGTTAAGGGTTGTAGTGTTTTTGTTGAGGGGGTAGGGTCTGTAGAGTGTTTGAGTTGTGCATGGATGGGAGCTGTAATGTGGGGCATTCAGGATTTAGTTTGTGGGTATAGGGTTAAAAAAAATTAGGGCATATTGCAAACATAATGGTGTCATTTTAATATGGGGGAAAGGGGCTGTAATGTGGGGGATATGTGTGCATTTTTGTGTGGGGGATAGGGGCAGAATTATGAAAAACAGGCACTTTACTGTGAGCTGATAGGGGTTCAAAATATAAAAAAACAAAAAAAAAAAAAAACACAACAACTAAAGTTTATTCCCCCCTTCTTGTTACTTACCTTGGCCAGGGAGGGGAGAAGGTTGATTCCTGTTGGTCTGGTGGGCGCATTTAGGACTCTCTCAATCAGAAATCAGAGCGTTACCATGGTAACCTGTGGCAATGCTCTGATCTAGTAGGAGGGGCCGATTCCTACAGTCTGAATCTGCTGGAGGTGCAAACCCCCAAGGTCTTCATAGCAGTATACCAGGCCAATATGCTGGCATCAGAGATAATACGTCTTGGCAGACCGGTGCATGGTCTTCTGCCCCACTTCACTATGCCTCTGCCCTGTTTCATAAATCAATGTGTGGCATCCAGTGTGCACATTGAAACCTTAGTTAATGGAACATTAACTTTAAAAATAAAGTTTCATTTTTTGCTCACATATAGTGGTAGTACACTAGACCGTTTTTATGTTAGTTTGTTCATTTGCTCCTTTAGATGTCTTGGACTCCATGTTTTAACTAAAAAAATAGAAAATGCCATTACGCTTACCTGTTATCCAGTGAATATGTCCTTGCAGCCTCTCCTCTTCTTCTGAGATCACAAATGCTGGTGATCTCGGTCCAATGCAGTGCTACTTCATGAGACCTATGGCACATGTGTCAATCGTGGTGCTCAGATAATTGGATGTTTTTATTAAAAAAGTATTGAATCCAGTGTGTAACTATGAGGAGTGTTAAAGGAACACTCCACTGACCCCTTTTTTTTTTTTTTTTACTATTTAGTAGATATTCCCCAACTAAAACATTCGTGTATTTTATCTACATGTTTTCTATGTGGGTGTTTGGGGAAAAAAAGCTTGCAAAAGCTGCAGACCCCCTCTTTATACCAGGCACAGATTTTTAGTGTGCACTGGTGAATACTCCAATCAGAGTTGTAACTGCAAGCGTGCACATGCAATAACCGTTTTCTAATTTTATTAAAGACACGGAGGCTCCTATTATGCATATCTCTTTCTTTATTACTCTCAGCAGCAAAGAAATAGAGATAAATAACTGAAATGAACAAAAAAATACAATGCTCAAGCAACCAATCACATAACACAGGAAGTGACTATAATATACTTGAAGCACCCACAATCCCCCTCTTTCTTTGCTGCTCTCAGACCAGTTAAGTACACAAATTTTTCTGCTCTGTGCTGGTATTGAACTACTTTATACATTGTTATGTTATTATTTGTTTGCTGCTCCTAGTCCTAGCCTTAAGGCTTATTAGGAGCCTGTTGCTTTATTATACTTCTGTTTTGTTTTTACTGTCTCCTCCTGTGGTGTGCTCCCCTGGGGGGCTGTTTACTGCCGCGTTCGGCAGTGCCGCCACCCGCCCAATCCCCTACCTGCCGCGATCTGCGGCTGGCCACGGGGTATCCCCTGCCTCCCTGACTTCTGTTACACGCCGGCGAGCCTCCGCTTAGCTCGGTGGCGGCTCCCGGGCGTGTGAAGGTTGGGCCGCGCTGTTACTGCACGCGCGCCCCCTCCCCCGCTCTAGCCGGCTGCCTCACCTCTCCTCGTGCGGCGGCCATCTTCTTCCTCCTCCGGACGTACTCCTCTGCTGTGTGACTCCTGCGGACACACAGTGCCCGTTTTTCGCCCTCTGAGCACACCACTGTGGGGTAGGTCTTGTTTTCAATATTATCATTTGCCTCTGTGTGTGTATATATTTTTTCTAATCACTGTTTCCTTTTTCATTGATTCTTTCTTGTGGCTGCTTCTACCATGTCCTGTTTCTATTTCCCTTTTGGGTTAATAAACCCTGAACTCTTCCTCAAATTTTCCTCCTGAATACTTATATATATTTTGTCTTTGCTTTCAGGTTGCCTGTCATTTCTTTTTACAACTGTTTTAGTCCTCACCTGCAATCATGCAGGATAAGGGTGATGGTCCTGAGGGCCACATTGATGAATTCCATCAGGAGCTTCCTGAGGGTCAGGCCGTATCTGCGGAGTTCCAAGCCTTAATGGACTCCACCATGGCGTCCTCTCTCCAGAGAGCGCTCGCCTCCGCTATGGGGGCTATGTCCTCCTCCTTCTCACAGACTTTTGTTACCCCAGGTAGCTAACCCTATCCTACTGGGTACGGGTCCTGCCCCTGCCCCTGCCTCA